CTCAAACATTAGTTCTGGATGAACAGTACGCTACTGTTCCACGCAAACCCAGAATATCCGGATATTTGTCGGGGACATATCCGGATATCAATATCCGGATATCTCACTGGCAATATCCGGATATCAATATCCGGATATCCAGATCCTCATATCCAGATATCAATATCCGGATATCCATATCTGGATATCAATATCCGGATATTTATCGACCAAATATCCGAATATTTCGCGACAGAATGCAGTTTCTGCATTTCGCGAAGATATCCACCAAAGGTCCAACTTTTACCAAATAAATGCGTTCAAGACTCCATTTTTAGGTCTATACAGGTTCATACACATGTTAGTTACTTGCTTAACTCATTTACATGCAAAGACACTACCTTTAAATCATTTAAACTCATAATTAAGGTTAGGCAACTAACCAAAGCTTCAAACTCAGAAATGGAAGGATCTTGGAGCTCACAACCAACTCCAAAGGTTCTGACTTGGTCCCAAAACGAAAATGCTAACACAAGCTTGGATCTTTCTACACAAAGGAAGCTTCGTGAAGCTTCACAAGCCAAGAACAAGAGCTCTCACCAAAGGGACACCAACTCAGCCCCTCAACACCTCGCCAACAATATCTACAACTCAGAATGAAGAACTCACCTCCTTCACAAAGCTCACACACACTCAACCAAGACACCCACTCAAGTGTTTGATGAAGAAACCAAGAAGAAAGGAAGCTCATTGGCTCACAAAAATGAAGAAGAAGGTGGCAAAGGGTGGCTGACTTCAAGACTCAGCAAAAATCACGTAGGAGACACAATATGGCCTAGGGTTTAGTGCCCACAAGGCTTATATAGGCGGTTAAGTCACTAACACACAGTATTAACTTTAATAGCTACGAAACTTATATGGCTCAACTATTCTTAAAATGTGGAACATTTGATTTTAACCTAAGAACATCCGACATATTTTTTAATTTGTACTAGGTTTATCTTTTTGATGTTTCTAGCCTAGGAATCCTATCAAAATATATATTAATGGACTCATAATGATGTTATGCATGTGATGAAGATGTTAATCATGCATGAGTTATATATGATCACACAGATAGAGATAAGAACATAAATGTAAGTCATGTCCCAAGTAGAGTACTAGGATGTTTGCGCGTGTGCACTCTTCAAATTTCAACATGATTCATAAGGACAAGGACATTGTAACATAAAATATTCTATACTATCCCAAGTAAGCTAGGACTCTTCAAGCTTTTCACCACTTTTGGTCTATTTATTACTTTGTTTCATAATATGCTTCATATTCAATTTGGCCATGACTTTTCTTCTATGTTAGGATGGATTTATTTGTCTTGCTTTGATCATAGTCAAAACTATAATATCCAATACAAGCTCTAGTGGCTTTATATCTTCAAGTGGTGGTGGAGGCAATGAATATGGTGGTGGCAGCTGCTGCAATGGGGTTGGTTGAGGTTGGGATTGTGGCAAATTTTATTTTGAGAAAAGTATTTAGCTTATAACTTCTGCTGTTGATAAAAAAAAGGATTTTGACCTTTTTGCGGTTTTTTTTTTTAAATCTAACATCCAAACACTTATCTAGATTGAGAAATAATATTTTTGAAAAAATATAATTTCTAAAAAAGCCCATCTGAACCAAACCTAAGTCGTTCAACCAATGTAGACAGATGGGAATGGACTCTGCTGGACTTATGCTCATCCTCATACTAGTATAATACCTAATAAGGCTTAACTAACATGAAAAAAGCCAAAACGTGAACACAAGTGCCATACATAGCATTCACCTTATGGTAGTCTAGAAGACATAAACCCTTTATAGGAGTTTTATACTAAAACTCGTATTGTAGAGAAATATCTTATAAACATGCTCATTATTAGAGATATATTTTATATATGATTGATTTGGACAATGATAATTCAATGGTATAATTAATTCACATGTTTCTTTTGTTTCCACTGTATTTCTTTCCTACGGACTGTATCCTTAGAGGAGATAAATCTTGGACAGATCCTGCAATCTTAGCTTAGTTGAGTCATGGCTCGAATATATTGTAAAGAAAGATGGCTAACAATATCACAAGAGGAGGGGGTGAATTGTGGTTAACTTCTTTTTGAAGAAACTTAGTTTTTCAAACCTATTTTTCAAGAAACCTCACCAAAACATGGTAGAACAGAAATCAAACCCTTACAAACCCAAAAACAGATTCAAAGCAATGTAAATAACATCACAAACAGAGAATTAATAGCGAAAATTAAAAAGATAAGGGTAAGGAAGATAAAACACCAAGCTACATCCAAACTGAGGTCGATCATCCACTATGTTCAGAACTTCCAACTGATGCTTGAAAAATTGATGTATAATTAGAATTTTACAAGATCTTTGATCACCAAACTCAACCTATACACTTATATGATAACTCCAATTGAGCAAAACAAAATTACAGCACCAAGAAACCTTCAAACAAATGTAGAACAACCTCTCTACGTTCACAATTACAGAAGAAAAGATTAGGCGAAGAAGAATATTGAGCTTTTCTCTCAAGGTATGCAAAATAAGCCTAAATAAGGGTTAATTCTTAAAAACAGAGTGTTTCTGCATTTCTCTTTTTTTTTTTCTGATTTAGAAACCCTAATTACATGTTTATATAGAAGTCATATGAGAATCATAGCCGTTTATAGGTGTTGAACTCTTGATTTCAAATTTTAAGTTCATAACAGACTCATATCCATATATCTGTCGGGCTCGTATCCGGATATGCCATATCCTGACATATGAACAGTATGTATCCCGATATATTGTATCTCGATATATGAACAGTGTGATCCCGATATGCTGTATCCTGATATGTGAACAGTGCGTAACAGGATATATCAATGACAACAAGCCTATTTTTGACATTTTCGATCCAAATCAGTTCCAAATGATTTCTAATGACTTTTAACATATGAACGAATATTTCTAACATCATTTTAACAACTTTCCATGTGTGCGGCATTTTATGCATGATTCAAGCATGTATTTTCCTTATATACGAGTTTATGACTTATGAATGCAATACTCAAAAGATAAACCTCAATAAATTCATTCTCTAAGGGCTTATTTGGGAGTCACTCTTAAGAGGTAAAGGGTAGGAAGAGAAAGGTTTTACTTATGCCTTCCTCTTGTTTGTGAGTTTAAAAAAACAGGGGAAGAGAATTGGAGATTTTTGTAAAACCCTCAAAACCCTTCTCACCCTTAAAATCAAAGTTCTCCCAATATGGGGGGTTTGAGGGGAAAATATTAGAAATTACTTATCTGCCTTAAAATTAAATTAAATTTTATTTGTAAAATATAATAATTATATTAGTTTTTTAAGAAATTATAAAATTGTAAAAATATCTCATTAACTCTTTATTTTTCTTCTTTATCATATTTTTAACTCCCAAACAAGGGGAAAGGAATATCCTTCATTTTCCCTTAGATCCCTTTCTTTCTGTTCCCCTCCAAACTCCCATACAAAGCCTAAGTTTCTAAGACTCAAACTAATGTAACAGACGATAATTCCTATGAGTGTCTTTGTCTTCACTTGTCTTCAAGCTTTGAGCCTTGTAGTGCCTTACTTCATTTGAAACCTTTGACTTTAATGTTGACTTTGTCTTCTTGATTAGTCCCATCACTTTTGCATGTTGTCTTGGTCTTCTAACATATTTGGGATTTTTTGCACTGCCTTCTATGTTAAGCTTGTAGGTGCTTTGTCATCATCAAAACTCAATGTCTTTGTAAACTTAGGGTTCAACATTTATATTTTAGTTTTATACTTTTAACAAATCCTATTTTGTTTGTTTTGTTATTAAAATGGAAATATTAATGTACAAAAAAAATATTGATAGTATAATTATTGAGCATGGTTAAATCATTAATTGATATTGAGCATGAAGTGATTTCATAATGGTCATAAAATCACCATAATAAGTTGAGGTAAAATGACCATACCAATGCGGTTTTTTGTTGTTGTTGAAATAATGTACTTTTGAAAGATATTACCAAACTAATGTAGTTAGTTCCACACGCCATTCATATAAGACTAGTCCTGAACATTTCTAACGTGGGACTACCACGCTAGTAACCAGTCATGCATCGTAAACTTGCGGGACAAGTTCCGCTTGCATTTCATGGGAGACTATTTGAAATGTGAACCTAGACATTGTGTGGTCACAATCATGCCACATGACAAGGACTAGTAAGTCTTGCACGCTGATTATACGAGACTAGCCCTGCACGTTAACCATGCAAGACTTACTAGTGGACAATAACCACAAGTCCCACATAGCTAATGTGCGAGACTAGTCCGCGTATGACAATTGTAATTCCCACATCTCTAACGTGCGTGATTAATCTAGTTTGGTCAACATGTGAGACAGACTGCATGCATTTAATTATATGTTTGAAAAGTGTATTATTCCAATAATTGTTTTTTAAAATTGCATTAGTATGGTAACTTTTGCCTATTAAGTTGACAGAGAGGGTCAATGACCATCTGCAGATTTAAATAAAATGGATGGGCAAATTCAGATAGTTTTACTTTTGTGACTAATGTAAGGGTATGATTGCTTTACTACCGGAGGGGGGCGTGGCGTACTTTAGTTTTGCTTTTTGGGCAATCATGATTTTTGACGACTTATGTGGTGTTTGTAATGTGTTAATTACAGTAGTATAACTAATAAACATACACTATAATGCCTTGATTGGTTCCTTAAGTACATATTGCAAGAATAAATTCGTCTCTTGTTTGACTTATGATTCTTGCTCCTCACACTCCGAAATATGGGTGCACCAAGATGTGATATCCAAGAGATGTCAACCCAAACAAGAAGCACTCCAACAACGGCTTTAGTAGTGGAGCTATTTACAACTTGCTCTCAACCACAATGGCAACTGGAGTCTTCTAAGAATACAATGTATCTTTCAGGTCCCAGGTCAAGATCCTTATTCCATTTGTGTTTTTATTTGAACAGAAGAGCTTCTTTTGGCTTTTCCAAAAGAGACAAGACTGTTGCAGCAATATGATTTGATGAAAGTCCTGCTTCTTCAGTCTGATCTTTGGGTGATCCATGCTCAATGTACCTATCAGGAAGCATCATTGCTCTCCACTGCAGGTAAAGCTCACAAAGGAATTACAACAATGCAAATGAGTGACATATCTAAAGAATTAAAACACTCCCCATTAAACCCAAAATAGCGTGAATAGAAGGTGAGAACAATCATTTTATACAGTCTTATCCTTACATGTTTGTAAAGAGGTTATTTTTCATATTTGAATCCATAATCTTTTAGTTATAAAGGAACGTCTTTACCACTAATTCAGGTTCGCCCTCTTTTATCTAAAGAATAATAATTTAAAAATGAAATCGATGGAAGGAGTTAATTCTCCTTAGAGGAAGGTTTACCTTTAAAGGTCCATCCAGGATACCAGCTAAGCTTAAGAATTGTGAAACATGTGATCCGAAACCTCCAATAGAACCCTCTTCCACTGTGATGAGTATTTCATGCTCTTTAGCTAGTAGCTTAACGAGACCAGTATCCAAAGGTTTACAAAATCTAGCATCTGCAACTGTGACATAAACACCTAGTGATTTAAGCATTTCTGCGGCTTGCCAACATTGTTGAACTATAGAACCGTATCCCAAAATAGCAACTCTGCTTCCTTCGATTAGAATTCTCCCCTTTCCTATCTACATAACCAAAAAACACTTCAATTTGGTTACATAACTAATAAGCATTCTGTTTGGAAAATGTGTGCTAGTTACTCATGCTAACCTCAAGTGGGGTTCCTTTGTTATTTGGTGGCAGAGTGGTTCCAATTCCATTGCCCCTTGGAAATCTAAAGCAGCTTGGTCTGTCATCTATAGCTGTTGCGGTTGCAACCATGTTCATCAGTTCAGCTTCATCAGATGGAGCCATGACCACCATGTTGGGCAAGCAAGCCATGTAAGTTATATCAAATGCTCCACAATGGGTTGGTCCATCTGCACCAACCAAACCAGCTCTATCCAGAGCAAATCGTACAGGTAGTTTTTGAAGATCAACATCGTGGATTACCTTCACACCCAATATAAATCACAATGTGAGATTGTTTGTTGATAGTTAGCTACTAGTTAACTTGCGGAAGAAAATAAATCTTTGTACGTAGTCTTATCTATGCATTATAGTCTCTTTGCAATAATACAAGAACAAGACTGCGTATAAGGATTTCTTCGTCCCTAATCTCACAAATCGGGGTTTAATGGGTAGTTTTTTTTGTTTTTTTTTTGTTTATGACTCACCTGATCATATCCACGTTGTAGGAATGATGAATAAATAGCACAAAATGGCTTGAGGCCTTCAGCAGCTAACCCAGCTGCAAATGTAACAGCATGTTGTTCAGCTATCCCCACATCAAAACAGCGGTCTGGAAACTTTTTCAGGAAATAATTTAGGCCAGTTCCACCACCCATTGCTGCGTGAATGGCTACTATCTTATCGTCTACTTCAGCTTCCTTTATCAAAGATTCAGCAAAGTACTGGGTGTATGAAAGTGTTGAGGCTTTTGCCTTAAACTGGTGGCCTGTTTTAGGATCAAACTTGACAACACCTGAAAGTGTGAGAGTATGAGCATCCTTAAGAATTGCTCATCATGATTTTGTTAAGATTATAAAAAGAAAAAAAAATTCCCTTTCTGACCGTGCATTTTATCAGCTGCTGCTTCAGCTGGAGGGTATCCCTTCCCTTTCTCTGTCACAATGTGAATCAAAACTGGACCTGGGGCTGGCATTGCTTTTACTTTTTCAAAAATGGTGACCAGATCTTCAATGTCATGACCATCCACAGGTCCTATGTAGTATAAGCCAAGCTCCTCAAAAAATGTAGAACCAGAAGCGCTTATCATACCTCTTGCATACTCGTCCACTTTTGCTGCAACTTGGTGTGTTTGTCCTCCTATTTGCTTTGTGATACTCTTTAGCAGATAAAATTAGAGTCAAATGCCAGAGTTTGGAAATTTGAGATAAGTACTGAAACCATGATGTTGGTTACTAAGTAAAATTTGAGAGGCTTACTTTTGCAGCTTCTCTAAGTTTTCTGAATTGGGTGCTTGCTTGAATCTTGCTTAAAGCACTACTTAGGGCTCCAACTGGAGTTGCAGGGCCATCAAGTGTGGCAGTTGGTAAAGAAACTTGCTTGTTGTCATTAAGTATAATTATCAAGTTAGCATCAAGGAATCCTGCATTGTTCATGGCCTCATAAGCTTGGCCTGCAGTTATTGCCCCATCTCCAATCACTGAAATGATACTATTGTTCTTTTCCAATAGATCCCTTGCAACAGCCATGCCTACCAATTTTTTTAACCAAAAAACAGGAGAGCCTTGAGAATTTTGTTTAATAAGGGAGATTCATGCATGTACTATAAATTTAATTTTACTGTACACAAGGCTCCCGACTTGTGAGAGTAGAGCTAAGGGTCTATTCTCTATTGCACGCCGCCTTACCCATTCAGTCACAAGGAGCTTTCTCCAAGACTCGCTCTCAAAAAAGTATATTGGTTTTAATATTCAAAAATATCTTACCAAGACCGGCAGATATACTTGTAGAACTGTGACCAGCACCAAAAGCGTCATGAATGCTCTCATCCCTTTTGGGAAAGCCTGCTAGCCCTGAAGTCTTCCTAATGGTGTGCATCTTGGACCTTCTACCTGTGAGAATCTTGTGTGGGTATGCCTGCAATTTGGATACTTCTTAGACCATCTTAAACATGACATTAACACTTGATAATAATGGAAAAAGATAGACAGGGAAGCAGGAATCAGAAATTTTATTACAAGAGCAATTTTTTCTACACGAATACAGTTTATATTTCTTTTATTTTCCTATGTGATTGGAAAAACCACTCCCTATTAAACCACGTAGCGAAGTGGTGAGGGCAAGTGTCTTACCCTTGCATATTTAATTTTCTATTGGAAAAAAACAGTAAATAAGAGGATCAAAGATTTACCTGATGGCCAACATCCCATATAATCTTGTCTTCAGGGGTGTTGAAAACATGATGCAAAGCCACTGTTAATTCCACCACTCCCAAGCTTGAGCTAAGATGCCCACCAGTATTAGATACACTATGTACAATGTCTGCCCTTAGTTCTGCTGCAAGTTGTTCAAGATCCTGACAAATACAGGCATAATCTTATACACAAACCAGCAAAAATCATAGAAAATAACTGTTGTGCCAGGCACAGACAAGAAAAATGTCTTATGCCATTGACTCTCACAAATGGATGCCAGTTTTAAATGGTTCACCTGTGTGGACAGATTCTTCATATGAACTGGGTAATTGATTGTATCCAACAATGGTGTTGCTGGTTTCTCCCCTGAGTAGTTGATCTTCCATCCATCTTTCTCTTTCTTTATAATAGTCATTTCCACATCACCTGAGCTAGTTGTTGAAGCTCTCACACATAGCTGACATAGACACAATCACACATCAACCATCATCAGTGAAAAAATCATGGTCTTTTGAAAGAAAAAGAAGAGTGACCCATTATGCAAGGAAAAGAGAGGAACATAATATTATATGTACAGAGATGGTGTCTAGCCTTTTGAAATGGTTAGATCATAAAAGACAATTGAAACATTAGTTACAGTTATGTGTTTTGTGATTCACCAATTAACCTGTTTTCTGCAACCATGGTTTGGACTTGGAGCTTTGTGTTTGTGGCATGGGGGCAGAGAATGATTTGGCTTAACAAAGGTACAGAAGGCCATGGTTTTTCAAATCAACGCGAGAGAGAGAGAGATGGAGAAAGATGTTTACAAGTCTTCAGGAAGAGACCAGACATGAACCAGAGCCACCTACGTGCTGGTTCTTGCATTTAAACCAAAAGGTGGAACTCATATATATGGAGAGTAGAGTGCCTAAAAAAACCAAACCAAGGCTGAAGAATTTTCTTTTTCTTTTTGTTTTTTTTTTTTTTTTTTTTTGTAAATTCTTTTTGTTTATTGCTTCTAGCATTGTTCTTTTATATCTTTATTATTATCCTTTCTTTTTCTTTTATTTAAAATCATTCCGAGCAGCTAACTCTTTCTTATGTTTATAATCTAATTGGGACATCGTCAATTTTCATTTTTATTTTCTATCTTTCGATATTATCAGTTCTTTATTTTCAGAAAAATGATCTCATCAATTAATTAATTCAGTGAGATATTTTGATACAAGCCAATTTTTTTTATTTTTTATAAGAAAAAACTACTTAATCATTATTTTAAATTTAAAAGAAGACTCACTAGACCCTCCAATTTAGTGTCTTCTTTTCAGATTTTGTATAAGTTCACTTAGTCCACTATTTAAGATAGGAACACCATTGACAGGGGAGAAAGACACACACCATTGACACCATAATATTTCAAAAAAAAGAAGAAGTAGAGATTTACTCTAAAATAAAAACAATGTGATATTTTTATTTTATTAAAAAAATATATTAATTGAAAAAAATATTAATTGAAAAGAATGAACATAGTAATTTCAAAAAGAGTAAATATACTTTTTGGTCCTCAGCCAATTTTACGATGCCCGCTTTAGTCCCTAGCGAATAAAAAGGCCCATCGTGGTCCCTAAGAAATTCAAAATAGACCCATTTTAGTCTTTTTAGGGACTAATATGGGTCTTTTTTGAATTTGCGAGAGACTACGATTTCAACTAAATGAGTCCATTTTGAATTTCTTAGAGACCACAATGGGCCTTTTTTATTTTTTAGGGACTAAAACGGACATCATGAAATTTACTGAGGACTAAAAAAGATATTTACTCTTTCAAAAATATAGCTAGTGCACGCAGATAAATAAAGAATAAATGTGATAGAAAACTTTGGGATTAGCAAGGCATTTGTTCTCCAACTTACAAAGTAGATCGCATTAGTCACGAACAAGTATATTTTTGGTCAAATCTTATTATCCCTGCTCACTTTGACAAATGTAAGCTTTTAATTTCAATGAGGTGCTTTTTTTACATATGTATATATAAGGAAATAGTGGTAATTTTTACGTATATTAATGTTATAGGACAATTATCTTTTTGTTTGAATAATCGATAGTCGATTCTCGATATAAATTTTTTCCATAATAAGTAGAACATTTATTTTATATCGTAGTAGTGAGTAGTTGCACAATTAATTTGAGAGTTCAAATTTGATAGGCGACTAAAGACAAATCCATTCAACGCATACCCATATTTTCATATTAATTGGTTGAGGTTCTTGTTTCCAAAAAAAAATTGGTTGAGGTTCTTGAAAAGCATCAATTATTGAAAAGTGATGCTTAAGAACGCTTTACAATGTCTTAAGCAAACAATATCAGTGTTATAATATTAAAGTATATCTTATTAGAATCATATAAAGTAATACTTCCACGACCCAACTTGGCTTTTGGAAATTTTATTATGAATATATTCATTTATCTCTTTTTGTAGTGAACTGCGTGTTGGGGTTTATTCCTCTTTTAATATGTTGGCAACTGAGCATTAATGATTCAAGGCTCTATGTCTGAACAATCTCTTAATAAATACAATTACCCATTAAATGAAGAAGATTTTGGAAAAAGGAATGAAAAAATTGCCCATCTGTATAATGAGATGAAATTCTAAAGAGAAAATTTAGATAGTGATTATGATTTCTCTTTTGTGAAGAGAAAAGGTGTGTATACATTCTCTGTGAGAAGAACTGTGTGTATTTCATTCTTTTAAGGGTGAAGAATTGAGCATAATTCTCTAGTTCTATAATAGGGAAGAACTTGTTGTAATCGTATTATTTATGGTTTTAATGTTTCTAAAGTGAATGTAGATAAGTTATCTATATTCGCTTCTAAAATGATATTGTTTCGAGTTGAAAAATTAAAAAATTATAATGAAAATGACTATTATAACCTTGAAATAAATTATAAATTTAAAAATACCTTGATTTTCGTCTCAAAACGACGTCGTTTTAGACTCAATGTAAATAACTTATCTACATTAACCGTAGAAAAAGTGAACCCGTTATTTATATAGTGAAAATTTTTCTAAACTAATCCGTGATTTTTATCTTTTTGTATTAGAAATGGTTTTGCGCATTAAAATTGTTGTATTTTTTTTCTATCTTCCATCATCTCCTTCTATTAGTGATTAACTTAATAATAGCTAGGCTGACCTCCAAATGTCAACTTAACGTAATTCTACTTGCTTCCATGCTGATCAGAAGGAACTCTTCTCAAACCTTAATCTCTTAATAGCTTAATGTGTTGAGATATATAGTCTCACATTGATTGTGTGGATAATTAATGTGGTCTTTATATGGCCTTGGACACTCTCACCCTTTGAGCTAGCTTTTGGAGTGGTGTATCCCAAAGTTCTTTACATGGTATCAGAGCTTGAGTGATTACAAGGTCACAAGTTCGATCCTCACCGTCCCCCACTTTAAAAGTGGAATTAAAATAAAAAGCACAAAAAGGTAAACCAAAAATTGGGCCTGTGCAATTCCACGTTTCTTGTCCAAAGGGCTCTTGCGTGAGGGGGCGTGTTGAGATATATAGTCTCACATTGATTGTGTGGACAACTAATGTGACCTTTATAAGGCCTTGAGTACTCCTACTATTTGAACTAACTTTTGGGATGGTGTATCCCAAATTCCTTTATACAATGCTTTCTGATATCCATATATACCTAATAGAAAATACAAGAAGCATGTCCGCACTTTTCTTCTTTTTCATTGTACGAATGTTTGTTGTATTATTTAAGGTAGCATTGTTAGAAATCTAATCTACTGTTACTGAACTCGAAGGGTTGACCTCGTAGTCAAGAAGATACGTGCATAATTAAGTAATTCATATTTCATGATGAATTCAGAATAATAAAACGAAATGGGGTTTTAACTAGGAAGAGACGAAGAGTTGTGATGCTGTTTTATACGGTTCTCGAAGGGAGAATCTTCATTGGGTTGGTGAAAACTAAAAAACAGGAGGAAAAATATTTCGAATCACGTTATTCATACAATATTTAAAGGCAAAACATTTTCTCATAACAAGAGTTGTTCTTTCTTATCAATGACTCTTCAATTTTTGTGTAGTATTTTTTTTTTCTTAATAGAAATGGGCCCACACAAAATATATTTATAATATGAGATACATATCTCCTATTATATAAGAAAATTGAAACCCACATTTAAATGGGCACAATTGGTCACAATGATGGCATTACTAAGTGAACTAGTGAGTTCATAAATGTATCCTTAGAGGGTGTAGTATGTTAATCTAGGGGTACTTTCAACAACCATGGTATAGCCCAAGGCTCTGATAATGATAAAGCTTCCCATATATGCGTATCCAGTGGCGGACGGACATTGGTGACTGTGTCTGCACTTGCAGACACAAAAATTTGAAGATTTTTTTTTTTTTTCAATCAAAGGGGTGGGTGAAAAATAAGCACACATCATCGCAGTCTTTCTTGAACTGCCGCGTGCATAATGCAATATAAACTTAGTTGAAGATTGATGATGAAGATAAGATGCAATATTTTCAAGGAATGAAGAATCGAAGAATGCTTTTGGGATAGTTCTATTGTAACAGCTTAGTTGACTCTTGATTATTATTATTTTTTATGTTAAGTTAAAGTTTTTTTTTCTTTTCTTGTTTATATTTTTTTAATACATTTAAAATTTTCTTTAAAAAAAATCTTTGGGGGCGCTGCCCTCGAACCCCCGCCTTAAGTGTGCACCCATAAAAAAATTTCCTAGGTCCACCATTGTGCGTATCAAGGGGGAGTGTGTGTAAGTGACTACAATGACTCTCCATAGAGGTAGAGTAACTACATGAGAGTGAAGAAGATCCGATGCTTCCTCAATGTGAGAAGGAGGATTTAGAGGGGAAGTCCTTGTCTGTCAAGCGTGGGAGAGAAGTAATGTCGTTGTACCACTTAGCCGACCTAATTACTGAGGCTAAGCTTGCTTTCCTACTGTCATTATGTAGTGAGCAGTAGTGCATGAGAATGAGGGGAAGTCTTATGTTGCCCTCTAGAAGGATCTAGAAGTGGGCTTTGAGAATGAACCCAACTGGTGGGCTTGTAAATATGGGCTGACCAGAACACTAATAATCTTATATAGAGATTATAGACAGTTATGATATTGGATTCTTGTGCGAATTACAACATTGCCTTTGTGAGACTGAAATATTCGACTTTGAGAAGTATAAACTGATATGGCATTTTGTCACACACACACACGATTATATTTATAAATTTTTTATTTACGAACTTAACAATGTATTAAGGGTGGTATATAAACTAACTCTTACATAGTTAAGTTTATAAACAAAAAAAAATTGTAAATATAACATGTAATTAGATAAAATTCACAATTTATGTGAAGTTGTTGGAATAAATATATATATATATATATATATATATATATATATATATATATGACTTTAACTTAAATCGA